CACTTGGGAAAGGTCAATAAAGGACACGCCCATTGGGACACGCCCACGTTGGACACGCCCACATTGGACATCCCTATTGGGACACGCCCACTTAAGACACGCCCACATTGGACACGCCCATTATGACACCCCCATGCTGGCCACGCCCACTTGGGAAAGGTCAATAAAGGACACGCCCATTGGGACACGCCCACATTGGACACCCCTGTTGGGACACACTCACTTAGGACACACCCATTAGGACACGCCCACGATGGCCACGCCCACTTGGGAAAGGTCAATAAAGGACACACCCACTGGGACACGCCCACGTTGGACACCCCATTAGGACACGCCCACTTAGGACACACCCAGTAGGACACGCCCACACTGGCCACGCCCACCTGGGAAAGGGTCAGAGCCATTGGGACACACCCACTTTGGACACACCCATCAAGGACACACCCCCTGGGACACGCCCACTTTGGACACGCCCATTGGGGGCAGCCCCGCGTTGGACACGCCCACTGGGACACACCCACATCGGACACACCCGCTGGGACACACCCACCAGGGACACGCCCACTGAGACACACCCACTATGACACACCCCTCAGAGACACACCCACTTTGACCCATGGGGAGGCCACGCCCACCTAGATGAGGCCACTCCCACTTATACATGTGGCCACGCCCACAGAGGGATGGTCACACCCACTGACACAATGCCACGCCCACTGAGTGAGCGGCCACACCCCTTTATGTGCGGCCACGCCCAGTTGGGAGCTTTTAAGCCCCTCCCACCCCTCCATAAGCCCCTCCCACCCCTCTCTAAGCCCCTCCCACCCCTCCCCAAGCCCCTCCCACTCCTCCATAAGCCCCTCCCACTCCTTTCTAAGCCCCTCCCACTCCTCCATAAGCCCCTCCCACCCCTCTCTAAGCCCCTCCCACTCCTCCCCAAGCCCCTCCCCCTTCTTACCGGTGGGGGGCGGAGCCAGCAGCGTGGGCGTGGCCCTGGGCGGCGCCAGAGCCAATCCCAGCCCCAGGTTGAGCCCCGCCCCCTGTGACGTCACCAGAGGGGCGTGGCCGGCGGCGACGGGCGTGGCGGGGGCGTGGCCGAGCGTCACCAGGGGCGGGGCCACCAGCAGAGGGGCGGGGCCCGAAGCGGCGGCGGCGGCGGAAGGGGCGGGGCCGGAAGGGGCGGGGCCGGCGGTGGCCACGCCCCCCGGGGCGGGGCGGGGCGAGGGGAGGAGCAAAACCGCCCTGGGCTCCGCCTTCGGCAGCGGCTGCAGCATCCTGGGAAGGGGGGAGGGGAAAATTTGGGGGAACCAAAGGTCACCAAAGGTCACCAAGGGTCACCAAGGGTCAGTAAGGGTCACCAAGGGTCATCAAGGGTCATCAAGGTCAGCAAAGGTCACCAGGGGTCACCAAAGGTCAGCAAAGGTCAGCAAAGTCAGTAAAGGTCAGCAAAGGTCACCCGGGGTCACCAAAGGTCAACAAAGGTCATCAAGGGTCATCAAAGGTCACCAAGGGACATCAAAGGTCATCAAGGGTCAGCAACGGTCACCAAGGGTCATGAAGGGTCACCCAGGGCCACCAAGGGTCATCAAAGGTCACCAAGGGTCAGCAAAGGTCACCAAAGGTCACCAAGGATCACCCAAAGTCACCAAGGGTCACCAAAGGTCATGAAAGGCCACCAAGGGTCATTAAAGGTCACCAAGGGTCACCAAGGTCAGTAAGGGTCACCAAAGGTCACCAAAAGCCACCAAAAGTCATCAAAGGTCACCAAGGGTCACCAAAGGTCATAAAAAGCCACCAAAAGTCATCAAAGGTCACCAAGGGTCACCAAAGGTCATAAAAAGTCACCAAGGGTCACCAAAGGTCATCAAGGGTCACCAAAAGTCACTAACAGTCATTAAAGGTCAGCAAAGGTCACCCGGGGTCACCAAAGGTCAGTAAAGGTCACCAAGGGTCATCAAAGGTCATCAAGGGACATCAAAGGTCATCAAGGGTCACCAAAGGTCACCAAGGGTCATGAAGGGTCACCCAGGGCCACCAAGGGTCATTAAAGGTCACCAAGGGTCAGCAAAAGTCACCAAAGGTCACCCGGGGTCATCAAAGGTCACCAAGGTCAGGAAAGGTCACCAAGGGCCACCAAATAACATAAAAGGTCACCAAGGGTCACCAAAGGTCACCCAGGGCCACCCAAAGTCACCAAAGGTCATCAAGGGTCACCAAAAGTCACTAACAGTCACCAAAGGTCAGCAAAGGTCACCAAGGGTCATGAAGGGTCACCCAGGGCCACCAAGGGTCATTAAAGGTCACCAAGGGTCAGCAAAGGTCAGCAAAGGTCATGAAGAGTTACCAAGGGTCATCAAGGGTCACCAAAGGTCACCCGGGGTCATCAAAGGTCACCAAGGTCAGCAAAGGTCACCAAGGGTCATGAAGGGTCACCCAGGGCCA